AACATTGATAGCATCAAGTGGATAAGCAATTAATGTGTCCTATTATTTGACAGAATTCAATAAAACAGCATTTGCTATGTCTAATACAAAGTCCCATATCCCAATTGCTGAGCGATTTTGTGGTCTGTCATTTCACTGCTGATGAAAGGTCTAAACCTACGCCCACCACCATGGTACGTGTCACTTGAGACTATTTATAGAGATCTTGACATACCATATCTGAGGGATTACGTAAAGCAATCGGCACAGCGGAGTTATAGTCAATCCGAATGAAACAGCAACCCTCTGCTGCGTGATTCAGTAGACTACTCAGTTGAGCAAACTCACAAACACCGCCTCACACTGTGATCAGAACGAAATTGTGAATTTCAGACCGATCATAACTATGTTTTTACAAAACCGGTCAAAATTGTTTTTGGAATAGTTCGAGTAATCAAATCACTAATACTTAAGCGTTTTTATTTCAAGTAGTGTATCTCTTTTCTTTGCTATATTCCTTCCTTTCTTTCCTTTTTCCCCTTGAACTTGTCTGGTATCCGGATAACAGACTGACAAAACTTTTAACCAGTAAAGTAAGAGTAAAGGTCCCCCGGACCTCTGTGTTAAACAACGACGAATAGTAAAAGGCCTAAATCGTACGTTACCAATAATTAGTAGTATCATCACGAACCAAATTAATTGAATATGATGGTCATCCGAAAAGGCTAGGGGTTACAAAGAATTAAACTTTACTTGCTTTGCAAAATTTATTTTTGAGCGCTTACTAGACTAGTCTTTGCATTGTCCTCTTCAGCTTACATAATTATTTTATTTGCTCTCTGAGTGCCCGAAGACATGTTGGTTCTTGATTAATTCTCGGTTATCTCAGGATGAGGGGTGTAGTTCAATAGAGTTTGGGAAGGACTCACCAAACAGGCTAATACAGGCGTTCCATGAGATTTCGGTGGAATTTCGGTTCTGGCCCAGATTTACAATCGGAGTATTTAGGCTTGTTTGTCAATACAAAGGCATGGTTTTGCATCTCAGTATCAATTGTTAGTCCCAACGTCGAGTGGAATTGGAAAAATGCTGAGCACTCATTTAGTGCTAGAAGGTACTACTTATGATTCGGTCTTCTTGCATTATACGATGCCCGCATAAGATCCATTCTCGAGTGTGGCTCTTATTTTTGGACCACACTATGCATAGTAGGAAACTACAGGGGAACAATCTGGTTAATAGGTGGCACTGCTTTTCGATAGCCTTGAGACCTTTTGTCGCCTCCCTTATGATGGAGATGCTTCTAGAGAAACTAAGCACCTGCTACACACTCTTTACCTGTTGTTACTAGAGCTTTTGAAAGCTCACACAATATCTGAAATCCACTAGCTTTTTTTCCTGCACTGCAATATTATGTATCGTCTTCTAAGCCTGCGACACGAAAATGTCAGTCCGCTGTTTCTCTTGACAACCGAAGCTTTGTTTCTACATGGAAAACTGAAGTAAAAAAAGGTTCCTATTCCTAAGATATGGAGTTTTTAGAAATCTAGAGGGCGCGTTTTCCTTCAATAAATGGTTATAACTGTATTTTACAATATTTTATACTAATACCACCTCATGGCAAGTCCGGCTTTAACCGACTTGACGCATTCCCTTATGATTGCTTCTGCCTATGGACCAATTTTCTCAAAAGCCAGGTAGAAATACATTTTCATTTCCTGCGCTTATAACCGTCGCTTCTTCTCAGTTTCTAGCGGACGCTTGGACATTCCAGTCTATATCATATACAGCAACTATGAATGGTATGCACGTCTTTCAGCGACGTCTGCAGTACCATCACATTATTTGCAGTATTTGCATAATACCATGCTCTTATCCATCAGTGAATTTTTTGCTATCATGCGTCGGCAGTCTGCAGGCCAATGGAAAAAGTCATGTAATCCCTTTTTTAATGCTCTTCAGCATTTTCTTGCGTTTGATTTGAATTTTAATGGTTCTATCGGAGATGTGATGGGCTTCAAGAATTTCCACTTCCTTAGGGAGAAACACGTACTGTGCTTGTAGAATATCCATAGGCGGACTGAAATATGTATGACTAAAAAGTTGCTGTATGTTACATATCTCTGTTTTAGTTAGCGCAAAGCACTTACAATGTCTATAAGGTAAATTCAATTCAACAATGTAACGTACAAGTAATCTACGCATCTGGTTGGTCGTAGTTCGGTTGGCTGAACTTTGAATGTTTGTCCAACCTTGCTTCTTACTTATTGAAGTCAGGTTGCAGTATAAATCAAAAACATCCCAGAATGCCATAGCAAAAAGCAAGGGTATTATGAACAACAAATACAGGACATTATGCGGTACATTCCCTCAACTCAGATGATCAGTATACCTACTTAAAACGATTTTACCTTTATTTATATTTATCGAAATAGTTGTATCACCCTCAAAAAGATTTGTTCCGAAAGACACGGATTTTTGTTTATCAGGACGATCAACTTGCCAAGTTTCACTCAGGTTAAGTTCTCTTGGCCACAGACTAAAGTTTCTAGGGCGCGTTATGTGAAGAAATGCACAGGTAAGAGTATTTTAGCAAACCTAGTTTAACGAGAACACTATTTGTACTGTTCGAAGTCTAACTTATTACACTTGTACTAATTTATAACAACCCTTGCAACTAATGAATAATAAATTTATGTCCATGGCAACTGGACTAATGCATTCCGCGTGGACTGAGACTGACTGCTTCCACCATCTGTTCGGTATTTATCTTCAATCGATGATTTCCAGATGCTCCGCGTCTTCTCGATAGAAATCGATCTTTGTAGAAGCCATCTAGAAGGCGGAAGATTTATGTCGTACCTTGACCGAAGCTTCTGGATATCGCCGATATAGGTACACGGTGTCCTGAAGGTTGAGATTTTCCTTTTCAGAGTCAACTACGTTTGCAATATGAAAGCTAATTTGCGGTAAAAAAGAAATTGACCAAAAATACTATTCATTTGGTTAGGAATTTCATGTACTGCACTCTCACATGTTTTGAAGTTGTCGTCGTTTAGGTTTAGGTTTAACTAGACGGCTTTTGCACGATATAAACGAACATACGTAGCTCTTATGAAAAGAAACATCGAGGGCTACCCCGACGTTCTAAGTACACTCGCGGAGCATCAATAGGATTTTGGAAATGCTCGTATCAAATCGATAACTACGTTATTCAATTTAGGAACGTGCCGATTTCAGTTTTCCAAACGCAATCTGTTTGTAAACTAGGTTAACCTAAACAGCACGCGACCCCTGATTTGGATACTGACTCACATTACTACAACATCGTACGTTTTGACGTAGGGGGGGATTTTGGGTGGCGAGAGCGGCAGGGTAATACTGACTCATTTATTGCTTCTTGCGCCGGCTCCAGACGTTGGCCCCAACGTTGGTCGGTTAAGTTGGTGAAGCGTCCACACGTTGGTTATTATACTAGTTCCTTTCTGTCAGAGCCAATGTGAAGATGTCCGACACCGAAACCGAAATTGCCCTAAGCACTTTTACAGTACTGATGAGTGCGTATAATTTATATTTGTTATTGAAAAAAAAGAAAAAGCCACCTCAAAGGAGTTGGTGGATGACAACGCATCATAAAACTCGGTACCAGTAAGTACAGACCATACACTCCATTCTAGCAGGTTTTTAAAAGGCAATTTAATATTAAATTATCTAATAATGTGTATACAGTGTGTCCAAGATAAGAATGTCTATCATGAATATTTTGGAAAACAAAAGTGATACAAAGATAGTTAAATTTTAAGCCTAACAATATGCAGTTTAGAAATTTTTAAAATTCCGAGTTGTTCCGGAGGTATGGCTGAAAAACCGAAATTTACCGATTTCGTTTTTATTTTTTTCTGACGTTATTTATAGAGATATGGAAAAACAAAAGACACTTTCTTATGGCTACTTTTTAAGCTCTACAAAACAGCGTTGAGAGATTTTCCGCACGACGTTTCGTTTCGGAGAAACCATCGTCAACTTTATTTTTTATATGGCGCTTAAAAAAGTATGCCCTGTATTAAATAGCATTTTTTAGGCATACCTCCGGAACAACTCGGAATTTTAAAGCTTTCTAAACGGCATATTGTTAGGCTTGAAATTTAACCATCTTCGTATCACTTTTGTTTTCCAAGATCCTCATGATAGACATCCTTATCTTGGACACACTGTATACACATTATTAGATAATTTAATATTAAATTGCCTTGTAAAAAGCTGCTAGAATGGAGTGTGTGGTCTGTACTTACTGGTACCGAGTTTTATGATGCGTTGCCATCCACCATCTCCTTTGACGTGGCTTTTTCTTTTTTTTCAATAACAAATATAAATTATACGCACTCATCAGTACTGTAAAAGCGCTTAGAGCAATTTCGGTTCTTTTTTAATTCCTCAATAGAATAAATCATTTTCATATTCTGTTGGATATTGCGCCATGCATCGGCTACTAAATTTTTATTTTTATGGTTCTTGCGAGGGGCGTTCCATATTATTGGATGCGCCTGGTATAACTCTAAAAAAATCTACAACTTTTTCGTTTGTCCACGCGGGTAGCGATGTTGTTGATGACATATCTCCACATACACACTCGACGCGTGTTACAACAAGACTGAGCCAGTGAGCCAATATGTGAACGGATTGCCAACGTTGGCGGAGATTCCTTTGATAAAACCGACAATCGACAGCCAACTACCAACGGTCGCTCCAACGTTGGGGCCAACGCTATTTTCTAGATACACACGTTGGGCGAGTGGCGTTGGGGCCAACGTGTGGAGCCGGCGTTGGATTCTAGTATCTCGATTATCTTAAAGGATTGATATGTACGTATAATATGTTACTTGCTCTGTAAACTCCCAACTTCGATGACAGCCTGTATAGAACACCTTGTTCGACCTGTCGGCATTTCTTTTTTCCTTTGGTTATTTGCGGTGGAAGTTTGAGGATTTTTTTATACTAATGTTGTTTTTTGTTTGTTCCAGGTGTATTCTGGTCAAGTGTGTATCTCAGCAGCGATCAGACTCGTGTTGAGGTGCTGCGCCCGTTGTGTTGGGCCCCCCTTCCCGGCCCCCCCTCCTCCGCCGCTATGAGCGCGAGGACGCCATGCGCGTCGGCGTCGGCGGCGTCGGCGGCAGCGGCAGCGGCGGCGGCAGCAGTACTTCCGGTGCTACCCTTTGTACTACCGTGAGTGCACCCTTGCAGCACGCATACACTCATGCTGCACTACCTCCGTCAGCCAGATTTCTATCGCTGCATTTGCTGCATCAGCAGACGCTCTACTTTATTGTGCAAACCAAGTCGCGCGTGCGCGAACTATATCAACAAGCATGCAAGCATTTTGCTCTTCAGGGCATGCTGGATACCGATCTCTTTGGATTAGCTATCATTTGCGGTAAGTTGCTTATAACCTTAATCTGCTTAGTATCGTCAGTGCTCCTGTATATAATTATAATACTAATACTGAGTGGAGTTTATTGCAAGCATACAAAAAATATACAAAGATCCAGAGCAAATCCTAGTTGCTTCCCTGACAAACGGCAGAATTCGGATCTTACTAGCGTCCGGGAAGATCAGTTCTTTCATGCAATCGAAAGAAAATACAACTGTTCACGTAGATGTAACATTACCTTGATACCTTACAAGCAAGAAGCTTGAGGCAAAAAAGTTGAAAAAATGGCTTCCAGTAGGTTGACTTTGCACCTCCCACGCAACGCTGTCATTAGTTTATGAAACAAGATTTTGGACACAGGTTTTTCTCTTTGAGCTAGGTTAAAACATGTATGAAAAATTAAACGCATCAAGGCAGCCAAATAAACCCAGTTTCTTCCCTATCCTGAGTATCGGCCATCTGGCAACTCTGCTGGATCACTCCAGTCAAACACGTCATAAGCGTGAGCTACGATACTATAGCATCCCTGGCGGCGATGCTGTCAGACGCAAGGCAAGGTTCGGCGAATGAAAGTCGCCGTTGCATATCATCGTTCCGACCGACCGCGTGTATCATTAATATTTCTCTCTCAAAGTTATAAGGATGAATGTACGGGGAAACATTTTATGTGTGAAATATGTACATATAGGTGCGTAAAGTTAGTGGGACTTTAAGCGTACATACTGCCACCAACAAAACGAGATATACCTTTCACCACCCCCTAGAACCCCCAACTCCCGATTTTCAACCCCTACAAAAAATTTTCCGAAAATGATCAGGAGCCACTAAACTGTCAAAAAACAAAGTTTGGGCAATTTTTATTTTATTTTTACGATGATCTTGCCCTTATCACACCCCAATCTTTTGTTACGTCTTTCAGAGAACTATTTTCGTTTTTAGTACTAATAATCATATTTTTTTTTCATTTTTTGTAGTCTAATCTTGAAGCTCATCTCGTTAAAAACCGCATACCTCTTGCATGCATTGTCTTTATGTTAGAGTCCATGGTCATGGCCAGTGTTGAGGATCGACCAGTGAATGGATCTGCTATCTGGCACCTATACACGTATCTACAATAAAAATGTAATTTTTCAACGGAGACCAAAGGCCATAACACAGCAGCAAACTGGAATTAGTATTTTATACTTTTGAAATAATCATGAGACAGATAAAGAGTAATCACCGGATTTCAGGACCGAGACATTGTAACTAAAAAGAGTTTCAAAACTACAGTTTCCCCACTGATTCACAACTCTTCAATCAATGTATCACTTGATGCTCCTCAGGATAATGGTCGTGAAATACGACGTGCTGTTGCAATCCTGGAGATAATAATAATAATAATAAAGTTTATTGCAAAAGAAAAAGTATAGCAGTAGTAGATGAAAGACAATATTATACAATAAACGAATGGACCCAAAAAAGTTTCGCAGAAACTTGTGCTTGGGCATGAGCTCATGTATAAATAACTTAAGACTAAAAAAAACATAAAAAATATATGTATATAAAATTCATTAGACAAGTCCTGGTAAAATTTTTAAAAAGACACAATCGGGACGGAGACGCAAAATCGGGACGTAGACGCAATCGGGATAGAGACAACATTGAAACAAAGGGCAATATTAGGTGAATAGACAAGAACAAAAATTGGTAAAAATAAGTCATAAAATGCAATAATTCAGGGGGTAAGAATTCAAATCAGTTTGATTTATACATTTTTTTTTTTCATTTTGAACTTTCAAATATCTAGAGAGATTTCCGCTTTCAGTAGTAGTAGATATTTTTGATATCAATCGCTTGATGAATCTTGAGTCTGTGCTGGTCCAAAATCCACAGTCGTAGATGCCTTTTCATAACCTCTGTATTTTTAATATCTTTTATCTGAGGGGGGATTAAGTTATATATTTTTGGTCCTAGGAAAGTGAAACTCCTCTGACCTATGGTCTTTTTAGGCTTTGGTATGCGTACTGAATGATCTTTGGATCTGGTGTGATGGTCATGTGGGAGGAAATTTAATAAATGCTTATGTTTTGTAATATATGTGAACACACTCTCAAAATAGAGTTGCCTACAATCACATATCTTGGATACCTTATATATCATATCGGTTGGATAGGTGTTAGTTTTGCGGAACATGATTTTAAGAATCCATTTCTGAGTTATTTCTAGTTTCCTGTAGTATTTATTCATCACCGGTCCCCATGCCAAAATTCCATAAGTTAACAACGGTTGTACTAACGTTTTGTATATGGTGCATAAGTCTTTATCAGAAAGAATTTCCCTAAAAAATTTAAATTTTGGTATAAGACATCTTAATCTCTTCGTTAAGCTTTCTATTTGTTTGTCCCATTTTAGGTGGCTGTCTATTATGATTCCTAGGTATTTTATATGATTTGCTGGCTTTAGGACCACTACTTCATCTATGGGTGGTAATTTGATGTGTATGTTAGTGAATGTCGGACTGTTCCTATCATCACATGAAAAAGTCAGATATAAAGTTTTTTGATAATTGATTGTTAATATTTTATTATTGAAGAAGCTTATAATGACTCTGAAATCCTCTTCAATAAGAGTCTTTAAGATATCCCAAGATTTTTCGCTATAAAAAACAGCCGTATCATCTGCGAACCCGATAATTTTACCGTGTGTGTGTAGGTTAAAAAGATCATTTACATATAGGTTGAACAGGATAGGTCCTAAGACTGTACCTTGTGGGATACCGTATGTTACATGATGCAAGTCGCTGATGGAATTATTAACTTTTACACATTGATTCCTATCTGAAAGGTAGCTTTTGAGTAAAGTATGTGTTTTGCCACGAAATCCTAGATTCTCCAAAGTAGTTAGTAATTCTTTGTGTTCAACTGTATCAAATGCCTTCTTTAAATCTATAAAGCTTCTTTTTGGCATACTCAAGCGTGGCATTTTCCAAGCAATTCAATAGAGTAGCGCGTCCCAAAGTATCTGCGCGCCGCTGTTTGTTCGGCATTCGTTGTCGGCCGCGACCCCCGCTCGTTTTGGCGCGGATTGTACCGGGTCGGGCGCATTCCCCGCTTATACAAATGATCGCGATCCCCGCTTCCCCCTTACCCCTTCTCTGTGCGCCTCCACAGGCAGAGCCGTCCAGCCGCGCGGCTGCTAACCGACCCCTCCTGCCCCTGCTACCCTCCCGGCCCGCCTGAACGTACCAGAGCCGTAGTCAGATGCAGGTACTACTTGCATCTCATGATCAATTCGGTTCGAAGGACCAAATATTTCAATTATCTACCTCCTAAGGATAGAAATTTATTATACTTGAAGAACCAGGAAAGCCTAGAAAGGTTAGCCATATTTTCGGGGAGTTTTCGAGCAAAAATTGTTTATGAAGCTTACATGTACGATTTATCTAGCAAGAAGTGAAGTTTAGAAAATGATTTGTGTTATAAACCGTTAAAATGCGTGAATTAATAGAATTATCAGATATTTTATCAATTACGAAGCCCTGACGGGTGAAACCATGCCTTTTTGCTCGATGCCTTGTGCTTACCAAGTATCTTCGCCCCTTTGGCGCCCCGAGGGAGTCTCACGAACTTCGTATTACCTGTTTTTTCCTTGAGAAATAAACAAAACCACACCAAACAAACAACTTGAAAGCAATATCTCACTCTTCATTTCGCTTTAACGCCAAATACATATTTTGCAAGACATCTATCCGGAGATGGCTACCCGTACGTCACGCAAAACGTTTTTGCGTATGTTCAGTCACACTTTCTGATCTTATAAACCCTTAAACTTCGCGAATTAATAAAATTATCAGTAATTCTATTAATCACGAAGCTCTGACGGGTCAAACCATGCGTACCTCCTTTTCGCTTGATGCCGAGTGCTTACCTAGTGTATTCCTCCCGTGGACTCCCCGAAAGACTCTTACGACCCTATTTCTATCTGCCTTTCCCTTGAAAATAAACAAAACAGATATCTGATGTAAACAAGTTGAATGCAATAACCATAAATAGATTGTCGCTCTAGAAGGGATCGATAACATTTACGAATTCGATACAGCTTTTTAGCAGCGTATGAATTGACTATGAAGAAGTATGATGCATTATTTAATCGGCAATTACTTACTGATTTCCTAGTGAATGCATGACCTACGGCTGAAAATAGGAGTTATAGATCCTCCTTGTGTTTAAAACTGTAGAGTTCTACAAACATCTTTGGGATCAGAAGTAGCTTTTCTGATAAACCAAAATATAAGATGACTAATATGCAGGTGCTTGTGAAATTTCGGATAATATCACATCAAACAGAAGGCACTTCGTGAAATTTTTTTATAATCCGCTGGTCGGCTGTATTAACCTGTCTTCTGCATTATAGTAGGGAAGTCGATCGCAAAGTTTTACTAGCATCATCGCGTGCTGATACGATACGATATAAACTAGTCACATCGTACGTATTTTGAGGCTAAACAGCAAACGTACAGCACATCAGACATACTCGAAAAAATATATTACACAAGTCATATTGGACTCAATGTTGGTTACCTCGGGGACTATATGGCCAAAAATGATCTAATTACCAGTTTTTGCCTATTCTTAAATATTACTTTAATGAAATCTATACGAGAAATATCGTCTTATCCTTGCTTGAACGGCATTCCGCCTTATCCAGATCGATCACTCATATAAGATCGCTCAAGTACCGAGGTAGTACCGAGCTTGGTACGGCTCTGCACCGGGTCCTCTACCCGGGTGCCCCTCTTCCTGCATCCCGCCTCGCTCGCAATGCCCCGCCGGCACGGCTACCTGTCTTAACCACGGCAGTGCATTGTTTTTTTGGACGCGACGCGTTTTTTAGCCGTAGGCCGCGCGCGGTCCACCGACGTTGCCACATCAAGGATGAAGCCGCTTGGCCAGGATACTAGACATAAACCAACAAAATCCAGCTCAGTCTATAGTCTGGACTGTCACAAAGCTCGTGCATTT